AAATAAACTTATCTGGATTTGTTATGGGCAAATTTAGCGATTACACTTTCAATATCGACTTCTTTAACATCTTGAACGCCATGGGGGACAAGGTATGGGCCCCACGCTAGCGGAGGATTTACCTTCAACAGTTTTCTGTCGGCAGTCAAAGCCTTATGTAAAGCAAGTCATGCTCTATATTCAACATTGTGAGATGATTAACACGTTCTTGGCCTATAGTGTTCGGGCTCGGTTCGCCCGCCAATGGCACCAACCAAGCGAACAAATACTCACTTTCCTTTTCTTACACATACAAAATACCAACTATTTGTCTTTTTTCGTTAATTTGTTAACAAAAAAATCAAATTACATGTAGGTTGGTAGTAGTTTTGTAAACAAAACATTTTCTTCATAAGTCTTGCTGTTGAAGTGGTGTAATTACGAAATACCTATTTGAGCGCGGGGCCCCCCAATTCGCGGGGCCCGTAGCATTTGCTACTCTTGCTACGTGGCTAATCCGGCACTGGTTGACGTTTCAAAAGTACCAAACTATGGTTTAATTGAAATAAATGCTTTGACTTTGACTTTGACTTTGATTTATGTTATGACTCCCATGCAATAAGGGGTGGCCTATTTCCATTTATCGGACACAATTCCAGAATTCGTTCTATTACTGAGATTTTTTTTAAATACTTTAAGGTGGCCCGACCCAGAATCGAACCAGAGACCCCTTGCCCGGCAGTCGTACTTGCGACCACTCCACCAACAAGGCAGTTATGATACAAATATTATCAGGGCCCAAAGGACCCAAAGTTAATTTACCGCATTAAGATACCGAATCTACAAAATATTACTAAACTATGTTTGTTCCTGTTGTACCTAGAACGAACCTATCTAATAATATCACTTTAAAGCCATAAATTTATTAACATACCCCTTGTAATTTTTAAAGGGGTAGGAATAACTGCTAGTTGTTCTATAACATTTAATTCGAGCTCTCGAAATGAGCTCGATAGCGGTCCGCCTTGTGATTGGTTATGAGAATAATCTCGACCAATGACGGGCGAGAATGTGTTCCAACTTACTAATCAAGGGAATTACTTTCAATTCCGATCGAATCGATAGACATTGGTATTGTGAAATTTAATTCTCTTGAGTTGTAACACTAGCGCCCATTGCATCCGTATTGCGTGGATATTTAATGAACTAAATAATGCTATTTTAACAGCTACGATAGGAGTTGTATAGTGTTGACATTGAATAAATTACTAAGATTTTATTGGATTGAAATTGCATTGGTATTAAAATAAGTTTCAAGAGTAAGCGTCCAGATCGTTTTACAGAAATATTAAACAGCATTTCGCAAACAGCATTTAGCATTTATTTTAAATACTAGCGACCCGCCCCGGCTCCGCACGGGTGCAATATGCATGTATTATACATATAAACATTCCTTAACTCGTCGAGTACCGGTTTTGTAGACACAATTATAGAACAAAAGGTTGCGGTCACCGGTGACCGTTTGGTGTTTGACAGTTTAAGAATCACTCTATCTATTAAAAAAACGTATTAAAATCCGTTGCGTAGTTTTAAAGATCTAAGCATACATAGGGACAGACAGACGGCGGATAGCGACTTTGTTTTATACTATGTAGTGTAGTGATAATCAATGTGCACCATGTACACCACAGAACATATAAAGAAGGCTAGAAAGGAAATAGTTCCTGATTTGTATTAGAACACGCGTCGCCGTTTGTCCCCCACTCTTTAACTTTACTACAAGCAGGAGACCAATACCTACGAGGAAAA